AGGGAATAAGGACGTTTGGGGGCGCGTGAGCTGCGTTTGTCTCGCGCGCTGCCAGGAGTGAGAGGCTCTCTGTGTTTAAGGTGAGTCTGACTAAAAGCCAGGTTTGTTCCACACCTGCACAGTTGTCTTTGGTTTTAAATTGTGATGCACACTAACCTGAACATCCTCTCCATTCGTTCATCAGGAACAGAAGCTGCTGTTCCTCAAGTTTACTGCTTTAAAAAGGTAATAATGAACATGTGCAACAACAATTCAACGACAAGCTGTAAATTTGTTTTTTGAGTGAATATAAAGTTTTTTTCTCTTTTGTTTCAGCGTCTGGGCCTAAACCGAAGTTTCAAACCAGCTGAGCTGAAGCTTTACTAGCAGAATTTACTGTTAAGAAATTACTACCTTTTTTTTTTTTTAAGTTCTAGATATGATTTATTTTGAAAGGAATAACTGGAAGTGTAGTGTAATTGTAATTCGGTTAGATTATGAACTCATTTGGTTCAGAAACTAAATGAAAGCCACATGTATCTCTTTGAAATGGAATAGTGTAGTAATATTCAAATAGTTTTATCCTGTCACACAGCCCAATTTCCCAAAGTTTTCAGACTTTTCAGTGTTCTGATTCAGGGGTGTAGTTACAGCATGTGGCCACAGGAGGGCAGCACGTGAGCAAAATGTAAAGTTAGCATGTGCGCTGTTAGCTATCACTTCTGGAAAATGTCTAAATAAAATTACTATTAGAGCAACTTCTCCCATTAACTGGAAACTCCCCTGATCTTAATCCCATTGAAAATTTGTGGTCAATCGTCAAGAGATGGGTGGAAAAATGAAAACTTAACCCTTTAAAGCCTGATCCAATAAAAATTGAATATTGGATTTTTTTTAGTCTGAATTCTTTGGCCCCTCAACAACATATGAAGAAAAAAAACAGGAATTCCTTTGATCAAATTAGCGTGCAATAAGTCAAAACTATATGTTGGTGTGGTCTTCTACTGGCTGTTATCAGGTATATCTGAATGTGTACAACAGGGGTTTGAGCAAAGCTTTTACCACTGAATGATGCAGAAAGTCTCACATCCAAAAGAAACCGGATCATATATGATACATTTGGCATTATTGGGTTAAGAATTCTGACAAAATGCAAGCATTGATTGTGCAAGAATGGACTGCTATCAGTCAGGATTTGGTCCAGAAGTGGACTGAGAGCATTTTAACTGTCTGTAACTCCTTCTAACGGTCATTAAAAGCTTTTGCTACTCATATGATTGCAATTGTATTTCTTTATTTAATCTTTATTTTACCAGGAAGTCCCTTGAGATAAAATCTCTTTTTTGAGGGAGACCTGGTCATATATTTATGTGATGACATCTGACACACACACATGAAAACCAGAGGGCAGCAGATGGTGTGAAAATATAATTGTGTTATTCTCAATACTTTTGGTGATGACCTTAGAGGGACAGGTGATGTTTTCTCAAGTTTGAAGCTCAAATGAAGAGACAATACCTTCAGGAGAACTTTTAAATGTGTCAGGAAGAACAGCTCAGACTGTTGGGAGAACCCTTTGAGCCTAAAAGGTTGTGGGTTCAATTCTCACATTTCAGGCTATGAACATTTATGGGTGGATGACTTCTAGAAGTAAAAGCTCAAATATGAAGACCAAAGCTTCCGGAGAACTTTCAAATATGTCTGGAAGAATGCTTTGAGGTCCACAGGTTGTGGGTTCAAGTCCAAAGTTGTTCATTTGGCTGAATTTATTTGTACATTAAGTATTCTAAAGCTCAAATATGAAAACAAAAGCACCCGGAGAACTAAGAAACACATCTGGAAGAAGGGAGGTTCCATTTAAGGCAAGTTTATTTGTACAGCACATTTCACATACAAGACAATTCAAAGTCTTCACAGAGAATTTAAAAGCAGAAAAAC